CTTAAAGGTCATAAGGCAAGGTAGGTGTGAAAACATTAACAGATTGAGTTCTGCTGCCCAATGTTGTTGTGGACCTTTAGGTATGATAACTGTTCCTATTGGACCATGGAAGCTCTGCTCCAACCACTGGTACCCCCCCCCCCCCCCCAATCTCTTCTAGTTATTAAATCAGTTTGAGAACACTGGACCTCCTCCAGCAGATAGGGAGAAGATTAAAAGTCTCCCAACTGTCCAGATCACAGAGGAGCACGTCGGTGAGTGCATCTGGACATCGTGTTCCTAAAGCTGGACCACAAATGCGCTTCATCTGCATTTTGTTTTATGCGCTATATATTATGCGATGCACGTACTACAAAGCATTCCTTCCGCAAAGAACGATGGCCTGTGCATTGCAGATATCTGCTTTTTATAAGCGTGTGTTTACTTTAACCTTTGGAATTCAGTGTAGATCTGTGCTGGGACATGTCTCTGTACCTAATGTACGGTTCAGGAAATTCACAGCTGCTGCCCCTTTCTGACTAGCAGCACTATGAGATGGGCCCTTCTCATAGATCGATTAGTATCCATCCATCCAATCACTCATCCATCCATCTTCCAACCTCTTACCCAGTACAGGGTCGCAGGGTTAGTATGCAGTATATTTGTTTAATTGCAATCCTTCTGCACATTCGTGTTTGAACAGCACTGTTTTGTGAAACTATTCATCTATCTTTAGATATCTTTATTTGTGCATATTTGTATTAACCCTCCATATTATGCACGGAACACTGTTTCGTAACTGGTTCCTAGATACCTCCAGTTTGATTTATTTCTGTCCCTGTGACACTGTACTTGGTAAGTGGCTGGTAGATGGATGTATGGGTTTATTCTGGTGGACTGTTCTTACACTCATTCACGGAAACAAAATATCAACAGAAATTTCAGTGGCTCACTCAAATTTAATTATTATTTTTCTATTTTATTATAATTTCATTAGTATAATCAATACGCTCATGTTGGAAACTACCAGTGAACATCCATCCATTTCCCTGCCACAGTGTTTCCCAGTCTGTTCCTTGGGCACTCACAGACAGTCCATGTTTTTGGAACTGGGAGGGAGCAAAAATGTGAACTGTCCTCGGAGGGAGTAAAAATGTGGACTGGCTGACAGGGAGCTCTGAGGGAGCGAAGACGTGGACCGGCCGGGGGTCCCCAAGGACTGGATTGTGAAACACTGCCATACCACTTACCCCTTGCAGTGTCACAATGAGCCTGGATCCTATTTAACTTTCAATTTGTCTTCTTTATCGCTATCATATTTAAGCATCAAGTTCCTTGATGTGCTTAGAAGAACCTGTATATCGTAAATGCACCTATAACTCGATGCATAAACAAGTCAGATGGGTCTCCGTTCTGATATTTATTTTCAGTGGATATGATTATCTCACGTAATTTTTTTTCTTTTTGCATTTCTATTTTGATCTGGAAGTGGAGAGTGTGATAAATCGCTTCGCTTTTAATGTAATGCACCCTGGGACGGCCAGACGCTGTACTCCACTGACCATTTCTTAACTCCTGGTCCGTTCTCTCGACTAGCTTCTGTGTTTTAAAAGCCTGTGACCGTCGGAGTGTCCAGGACGAATAATTCGCTGAAGAACATACTTCCTGAATGCAGTCTTATTTACATGTTTCCGCTCTTTCTCCCCGTGTTTTCAGGTTCAGGTTTAGAATGCCCAGTGTGTAAAGAAGATTACAGCTCAGGGGAAAATGTTAGGCAACTCCCGTGCAATCATTTGTTTCACAATGATTGTATAGTACCTTGGCTTGAACAGGTATGCATGTTTCATTCTCTTATTGAGCACCGTGCCGAGGGGGGGAGGGGAGGGGGGGAGGGGGTGGGGGCCCCTGATGGTGCCATGTTCCTGTGTTGCGGTAAACAAGCTGACCAAGCACTGTCTCCTTTTATATTCTCCCTGTGCTTCAGCACGACACGTGTCCGGTGTGCAGGAAAAGCTTGAGTGGACAGAACACGGCCACAAATCCACCGGGCTTATCAGGAATGAACTTCTCCTCTTCCTCCTCCTCTTCCTCCTCCAACTCGCCCAGTAACGAGAACGCCACCAATAACTCATAAGACCTTCCGTCTCACCCTCCTGTCCCTCGCTCCACCAGAAACACGGGGCCCCTTAACCCAGCCAACGAAAATCATCGCAGGGGGCTACTGTGAGGCAGAGTGGGATCAATTAAATCCATGCATACCTCCCCCCCCCCTCCCCTCCCTTTTACCTGTCGCTTGTGAAGTAGAGAAACAGTCCCTTCTCGCCACTCCCCGGCAGTCAGTGAAACACAAGCCCCACCCTTCGAGTGGGCTGGTCCAAGCCGGGAGAATGGAGGGGTGACCTGAAGCTGGAGGGGCCAGTCAGAACTCGGGAGGGACCATTAGGGAATGAAAAACAACCACGGAAAGAACAGACCCACCATCCTGCTTACAGACGTTTTTACACTCTTGCTCCCTGAGTCTGAGGAGTACGATTGGTTTAAGTGGAATAAGCATATGATTTGTTTTTAGCTACTCCTTTGACTGTACAGGTATCTGTGGTGAAGCGGAAATATGTGTACATACTCGTATTTTTTTAAAAAAAAAAGCATTTTCTATCTGTACAGCCAAAGGACCCGGGAATATGTGTGGTGAGGGACAGAGAAGCTGAGTGTGCATTTCATTAGGGTTTAACTTGCACATTATTTCCTTCTGATCATTTGAATAAGGGTTCGACCCAAATAAGCATTTGGTTTGGGGATGTTTTATTTGCGATGTTCAAAAGCGCGCTCTGCCCTTCAGAAAACTTGATGTCACATTTAGATTTTTCATTAACAGAGTAACAGTTGTTATCCTGTTAATACATTTTCAGCCTTATGTTTTGAAAGCAAGTAAAAAAAATATATACTGTGTACCTCAGATACATGGAGCAAAGCCAAAACTGATGCAATTTATAGAAGAAGAAAAAAAGACACCTTGACAGACCCTGTCTGTTTCTTCCCTAGAATCTGACAGTATACCATAACGTGGAAGCCGAGACATGAAGTCACTCACACACTCAGCCTTTTCTTACATATTCAGTGAATTTCAGTACAATGCATTTTTAACTTATTCTAAGTTAATGGATTGTTTTGTAAAAATCATAATAAAAACAAAATGGAATCTGAATATATTGCAGATGTTGTAAAACTGTGGCTCAGCTGGGAATTGGGTGATGTAGACCTGGGGTTTCCCTGTTAACTTTGAACATTTCCAGAGGTATGATGGGCATGTGTCTGTGTTAATGTGATTAGTCCCAATTATGCATAGTTGTACGCATTGTTTTTGATGAACGATTCAGTTTTATGTTTTAACTTATTTTATATTTTTTTATTTGCAATATAGACATACAGCCATGTTTATATTGTATTTTATCAGTACATAAAATTTCTTGAAATTTGAATATTCTGCCTTTAAGCTATTTTGACTGTAACTCGCTTCTCACAGTATTAATAACAGCATACACATCATGTTTCCTTTTTTGCAATATTTCCAGTTTATTTTAGTGCGCTTATTTTAGTCAAGCGCTAGATGGCACTATAAAAAAACTGTCGTCTTGGGATGAAATTAGTAAACCTTATTAGATACTGTAGACTTAAATATGCCGTCTTTTTCTGTTTAGCACTGACTTCAAATATTAGAGAAGGTAACCGTTGGGCTCGAAATGTTTCCCAAACGTTTCTTCTGCAGTCATCATCAGATCCGCTTGGCCCATTTTAGAAGATTACAAGCTTATAACACAATGATTGATTCAATTTGTTGATCTTCAGATGTGACTTATAATGGCCTTCATAACAAGGTAAAGGGAATGAAATCACAGATCTCGGGTTGAAAACGCAGGAGCGTGTACTGAATGGCGTATGTTATGCTAGCTTCATGTTAAGGCCGGTTCCATATCAAAGGAGAAAAATTTTAAGTCTTGTATTCAAGAATCCATGTTTGCCCAGTATCTGCTCAGACGAGACCGGCGTAAAGTTAAATATTCAACATTCATTTGACATTCAAAATGCAAAGTTATTATGCGCTTCAACCATTTCAGTGAATTATGTCAAACCACATGTGCAGCATCGAGAATCGTGTTCTTTATATGTCACAAGGCTTGTTTTTGAAATATTCCTCTTGAAAAGTTTTTTTGCAACTAAAAATGACATATACATGCACATAAAGCTATTATGCTCTCGTACCATGTGACCTTGTGATCTCAAACCAACTGTACAGCAGAGACAATAATGTGCCTCATCTGTCACAAGGCTTTTTTTTCCCCATGTTCCTCTTGAAAAGTATTTTTGCAACTAAAAATGACGTATACGTGCACATAAAGCTATTATGCTCCCGTACCATGTGATATATGCTACAATCCATGCAGCTGTTTGCTTTATCACCCATGGCACAAAGTGTCTCAGCTTCCGTCGTGATGAGAAAGCAGTGTGGCCCCACTTAGATCGTACCTTGCCTAGATCGTACATTATTCTTTCTGCTGCACAGTTGGTTTGACATCAGAAGGTCACATGGTGCGGGAGCACAATAACTTTATGTACATGTGTGTTTCATTTGTAAAACAACATTTTACGATTAATATTTCAAATACAATCCGTGTGACACATGAAGAACGTTATTCTCGATGCTGCACAGGTGGTTTGACATAATTCACTGAAATGGTTGAAGCGCATAATAAGTTTGCATTTTGAATGTCAAATGAATGTTGAATATTTAACTTTTCACCGGTTCAGACGAGAAATCTTAAGTAATTATGTATAACGGATGAATAAATTCATGACAGTTTATGTCTACAGCAAATATACACACATAAACACTGTTACATTAATATCTTGAAGAAAAACGTAAACACTAAAACAATAAAATACTTCGGGAAATTCTGATCACGTGTGAAAGTCGCAATGACGTACGCTGACGCGCATTGACACGCCCACATGTCTATGGACACGCCCTCGGCCGGCCGGCCGGCTCTGTGTACGTGCGAGCCCACGCGCTGCGAATCAGGCCAATAGAGCGCCAGTAAACGCTGAGAGAAGCAGCGGATTAACGCTCTGATCGGCAGCTGTCCATCCTCCGGCAAATAGACTCGGTTTATAAGAACTAAAGCTCCGTAAATATATTTAAGGGTAACAATGGCATTATTATGGGTGTTTGGTGCGGTTATGGTTTGCTTCTACCAAGTCACTTCAGAAACAGGTAAGGTGTTTCATAGCTTGCTGAGTAACGTTTCAGAAAGCGGTGGACAGGCAGCGTTGGCTCGTTATAGAAGAGTGATGCTGACAGTCCCGTGCGGGCTCGCGCATCGCCATGTGACGCGACTTCAGCAGGTTGTCACGCATTATTTATATAGTACTATTACGTACTATTCGTTTCCATTTAAAAAAGTTTCTAAGTGTCTTTCCCGCTGTAAAAAATACACCGGCTAGAACACGGATTATACAGTAGTTGAAACCAGATCGTACTGGTGCTAATTGTAACGTTCTATCCAGGTAGCCGTTTCGGTATATTTTAGGTGACCATTTAATTTGGGGATTATTAAATCTAAGTAAAAATGTGTTATTTTGTTTGTCTCAGGGTCTCTTGGGTAATTAAACAAAACATTTTATTTGAATTCTTAAGTGCCGAAAGTGTTATGTGATCTCTAGAGGAATTCTATACACATGGGGATTTTATAGCTTTGTGGTTTACAGTGCATTTCTGTATCCGTTGATCTGTCAGAAAAGAATACAAGTACCCATTTGATATGCGATTATTTTGTATTTTAATGTTATGGACATTGACAGTAACAATCTGGAAAAACAAACCTTGGGTAGCTAGAAGTACTGTAGTCATTAGCGGTTTTCTATGTAGCAATAGCTGTATTGCGACAGGTGTATGACAGTAGTTGTTATGATTAAAAAGGGAACTTATTGTTTTGCAAATGACATTTAATTCAGCACCGTGTCCACGTAGTCTGTTTAAATTATAAGAAAATTATGAAAGTAATTCGAGAAACAGGGTTTAACCTTGGTCTCTATCTAATGGCATGAAATTATATTTTCTCCGGTCAGTGCTGTACCAAGTTCAGACATGGTCAACATGTATCAGTACAATGCAATAAATAAGATGGTAAATACATAAAGTCTACTCTGGTGTTCACTGTATAATGGAGATCCAGGATGGTCTTTGTTCACACGTACTTGGGAACCTTCTTCCACACTGTGGAAACAAGAAAGGTGATCAGATTAATCTTATTACAACCTTACTGCATCATTAATGCCAGGCATTTGTGGAAAAAGGTGACTGCGCAAAATTTCTGAAATAGGAACCTTTGTGTATATGTTGGGGTGCTTTAAAAAAATAATAAATTTCCCACCGGTTTACAGAAGAGCCTTCGAATTGGTAGATTTCTCCGTCACACATTTCTCAGTTTTTCACATCAAGGTCCCAAAATCCCTCCACAAAAATCTGTGTTCGATATTACAAATATTATACAACCTTTCTAGTAAATATATACATCAATTTATGACTATTGGAATCATCAGAAACTTTGGAATTAGTATTATTGGTGTGTATTGCTAGTTTTGGGTTTCATATTACTTTTCATTAGTGATGTGGCCGGGTTAGTCTGTACTGTATGTATATTCCAGCCTTAGACATTCCAAAGATGGTCATGGGATTGATGGTCTTCTAAAGTGCTTTACAAACATAGATGTAATGTGGTAACATTCCGGATGCTAACGGATAGGTTAAACTTACGGTAATTAAAATGAACTATGTTTAGCATCAAATGGAGAGCTGAGCTGCAAAGAACCCATAACGCTGCTGACAGAACACATCTGATTTTATTTTTTTTCAAATAATTTAGTTTTCAATAATTTTGTACCTTTCTGATCTGATAGCCCTGTTTCCTGGTCTTAGCCGCAATGAGCTGCATGCGGTGGTGGGAAAAAAACTGAAAATAAGCCTGTACTTTTACTTATTTTGGAGAAGACTTGTTTGTCCTCGTTATAGAGTGTTATAGGGTGTCACTGTGGTCAGCTACTCAAGTCACCACTTCAGAGGAGAGGTATAATTAGATTCATCCCATGGTCCGTCTTCGGTCGCAACCTAGCTACAGCTTTTGGTCAGAATTGGGTCATAAATATTTTCTTCTTTATTTGCATGTACCATTAAGGGAAGGGCAGGCACATTGAATACTTCACTATTACATCAAATCAGCTATTTGTATTCTGACCTGTTTTAATATTTTTACGTGTATTACAATTTTTTTCTTGTTTTAGCCATTTTTATTGGTGGATGAGCTCAGGACATTTATTTATAAATATGGTTTATGTTTGATTATACTTTTTATTGTTTTTAGTTTTATATGCAAACCAGCATGAGCATGCTGAAGTTCTGTCTTTCATTCAAGCACAGTATAAGAACCTAAATATTCCAGTGTCATTGTACCATGATATGATGTAGGTCAGTATTGATGGTGCTGTTTATGTGACAGTATAATGCATGTCCATGTCAATGACGTCACTCTGTTTGATAATACAGTTTATTTATATGAACTTGAATCCTGTCTATTTCTGACTTTGGAGGTATAACCTCAGCCTCATGGACAGTGTATATATTACACTGTGTCCAGCTCATATTTGGCAGTTCAGCTCACAGGAAGGCTGATGAATTCATCCATAACAGTATGCATGCATTTTATGTGTGAAATCTGTAAATACAGAAAAAGTCTCTACTGCCGCTGATCCATAACATTTTCTGCATTTTAACACACATTTTGGGAGATCATTCTAACTGGATATTAAAATAACCTTAGAAAAAAAAAGTTATTTTGTACACAGCAGCCAGTGGTCATTTCTACATGGTTTATATCTGAAACACTGCGATACATAATATAATATTGTGAAGCAGTTTGTATTCAGTTTTGTTCTCCTTAGGAAGCTCTTTTCTTCTGTCAGTAGCTCAATATTAATCATTCGGAAGAAAGCTTTTTTCTGTATTTTAATTACCTCATAAAACTATATATAAAGCAGAGCTTCTTTATTCATTTTAAGTGAGTGGTTGGTGAGCTCAGTGTAATTTCATTATCAATGATGTGTGAATGCCATGAACATCTTGATGAACCTAATAACCATCTTAAGCCATGAGCCATTTGTGGCCATTCTTGTACATAAAACTGAGCAATGAGCTGAGGCTGTGTGACTGAGGTATTGAACCTCGACCACATGTGGCTTGAGGTAAACCTCACTCGTTACTGCAGCATGCATGATTTCCTGGATTTCAGTTTATTTAACATGACAGTGGCAGAAGGAGAATCAATATTTGTTCTCTGGAAAAGAGACAGCCATGAAGGTGACTCCAAAAAGGTCATGTGATTGTCATTGGCCAATATCGTTTTAATTCTCATTTAAAAACCTTTTAATGTGGGTTTTTATTCATTTCTATTCAACTATGTGGCAGTTTTGTCTATTTGTTTTTCTCATTTCCTCGCCCAACCGTCATGTGAAATGTTATTTTTAGGAAAAAATGACAAACTACCTTGACGTATTTGCTTTGTTTCGGCTCTTCAGAACATTAGTCTCTGGCTAATTGTTATAGTTTCTCATTCCTTTAGTAGATGGACATGCTTGTCTTGTTTCTGCCTGTGCTTTGATCTCTTTGCATTGTTTTAAGATCAGTAGTGGAATTCAATAGGGGGGCTGCTATAGGACGCCTTGTACTATGAGAATGTTATTATTCTGAGGCTCGCTTTTGAACAGTGTTTGTACAAGTTCTCCTTGGTGTAAGATGAAAGAAATTGGGTTGATGTTACACTTCACTAATTCTTAAGTTGTTTTTTTCCACTGCATAATCGTCTTTTCATTTAACGTTTGTTTTCACTTTCTTCTATTTAGATTTATTTTTGTTTACTTTTCTTTGATTGTTTAAATTGTAAGTTGACTATGATTTGGCATTACTTTAATTATTACCGTCAGAATGCTGAAATAGTACTTAAGTCCATCACTATTTCTAATCTGTGTCTTTTCTGGTTTTCTAACATGTTTTTTTTCTTTTCCTTTTTTGCCCGCCCTTGCTTTGATTACTAAAATACCCCCCCAACACTCCAATCACACCCATGAACGGTCACGTTTAGTGAGCTTTATCAAATCCCCAATGTCCCAGACGACAGTGAGTGGGAGGAGCGCTGGGCTCCACTGTGAGGTCGTAGGCTTTCCCCTCCCAGAGGTGCAGTGGTGGTACGTTGAGGAGGAAGAGCCTGAAGAAACAATTACTCAGCTGTTTGATGGGGCCCGAATGGATCGAGTCCAGATCCACACCACATACAATACTCATGCCGCCAGCACCATTCGCATCTTGAACGTCACACTCAATGACTCTGGGACGTATGAATGCAGGGCCTCCAACGACCCCGAGCGCAATGCTCTGAGGAAGACGCTCAAAGTCAAGTGGATCCGCTCGCAGGCTAACATTTTTGTGTTTGAACGTGAGTGCTGGTGGTAACCTGCCAGCTTGTCCTCTTCTGGATGATCTTAAGAGGTCTTGCTCCTACCTCACACCCCCCCACCCAACCCCACCCCACCCCACCCCACCCCACACTCCCTTGCATTTGATCCTCCGTGTTCCCTATACCTTCTAGTTGATCTAGAGATCCAGCTTTGCTAGTTTGGCATAGGCGCTGGGAAGTTGGATAGCAGAATTCACCCAGGTAGCTACTAATTAATGGTTAATGCTGCTTGGGTGGTCCTGGGTGATGTATTATCCTGCTTCCCCTGTTCTCAAATCAAAACTTAAAATTGTATATTTTTCTAGTAATATAATAAAAGTCTGGACCAAGGTCAGCACAAACTGGCAATGTTCCATTCAAGTCTTTGCCTAAAAGTTGGAAAACGAATGTTTTGTAAAGGTGACAACTGTATTATTGTCCCCTTCACCCACTTAGTCTTAAGGTGAAATTGTGTGATTCCGAAGACCCTTGATCTCTGCGTGTTCTTATCTAGCTGTCTGCACAGCTCAAGAATCCAAGACTGTTGCTGCTTTTGCTCGTGCTTCCTTCTTCTGCATCCCTGCACTTACTTTGGCCCTTGGCATAATCTCCAGCCTGGCTCCTACGGTCCTTAACCAGCACCTCTCTGCTTTTTTTGTGATTCTTGGTTTGCCATAAGCATGGATTGGCATAACTGATATGCAAGTATGCGTTCGCCATATAAAGGTTAAAATGTCTAGTATTTTTTGTCAGAATAACATAAATGCACATAAAATCAGCATTTTCCCACTTTCACGATCAGAAATTACCACACAAAATGCTTTATTCAGTGAATGTGTACTTGTGTACCAGCTATCGGCCCATAACTGTTCTGTCACTTATGATAACTGTTTTTTGGTAAAAAAAAATTACATGCATTCCTGGAAAAATTGTCCTTTTATCATGACAGGTAAATACTGTATAATTTTTACTTAAACTGTACTGAATGGAACTGTAGTTTTGCATAAAATGCGAAGCCAATCCCCATAGTTCTTTTTTGTTTATATTTTTGTATGTTTCATAAAGAAGTTGCTGGTTTCATTAGTCGTAAACCACTATAAAATTGGTTTTGAACTAGTATAAATACATGATCATCACGCTAGGCTGCTATCCTCACTAATGACTAACATGTTGAGTTCAGTTCCTTTGCATAAAATATGCAGGATAGAGTAATACTATACTACTAATAGTAATAATAACAGAGTAATAAGACCTGCCAACTGTTTTTGTTTGGCATTTTTAATGGTTTTAATTTTTCCATCATAGAGCCTAACATCCTGACCGAGCCAAAAGAGGCTAATATCACCACCGAGGTGCTCAGCTGCAACTTCACTGAGCCTCAGACTCCCATCAAAGGTCATCACTGGACCAGGAACGGAAACGTGATCGAAGAGACGCGAAGCACCTCCACAGTGGGGTTCACCCAGTACAAGTAGGCTGTTTTGCTCCGGTGTTCTATGGTCACATTCTGAAGAATCATCAGCTTAAATGGAAACGGTTCAAATTACTGTCAATCTTAAGGTATCACCTGTTACGGGTGGGGAAAACTGGCCTTTTAAGGTCAGTCAAACTGCAGCCCAATGAAGTACAATATGGGAAATGTGTTAAAGCCAGATAGAGTTTAAGCCCCATTTCTCTCCACAACTTATAAAAATGTATAGTTGTTGTGCTGACATGGTGGGTTCAAACCTTCCTCGCACCTTCTAATGCAGGGGTAGGCAACCCTGATCTAGCAGGTTTTCCATCCTACCTGGTGTCTGATGAACCACACCTGATCTCAGGCATATAGTAACTCATGGGGTAGGATGGAAAACCTGCAATATACCGGCACTCCAGGATCAGGGTTGCCTACCCATGTTCTGATGGGTTCAAAGCCCACCTACCTTTTGCATGTGTGGAACTTGCCCGCTCTCCTTGTACTGCGTGGGTCTCTTCTGGGTGCCCCTGTTTTCTGGGGTCATGTCAGTTGCTGTCTCAGACTTCTACCTAACTTTATGATTGTGAATGTGTGCATATGTTTGCCTCATGAAGGCAAGGCATCCTACAGAATAAACATTGAATAACTTTCTTACTAATGATAATTATTTAGTTAATTATGGTCATTATAGAAGAATAAACATTATTGTGTGTTTGTTCATTTTATGATGCATACCTCTCCTCCCCATCTGCCTCGGCCTCGTAGTTGGGGCAGGACGTTGTACCTCCAGCATGCCCAGATCTTTGGGGATTAACGCGCTTTGAGTGTGACCTTAATTCCTGGAATGGCAGACAGGAGACAGGCTTCAGCTAGCAGCAAGGCTGCCATTGTTGCGGCCCCAGGACAGACAGTAGTGTCCGACACGTGCAAGCCTTTTGTGCGCCCACCCCACCCAGCCTTGTGTAAAGCATAACAGTCGTGCAGCTCTTGTGATTGTGGCAACCCCTCATTTAGTTGTTTTTTTTTTTTTTTTTTTAGAGTAGACAAAACTGACATCAAATTTGGAGGTGCTTTTTCTTGTGTCTTTATTGCGGCTACTGAGTTTAACGAGTCTATAAAACTTTCAGGTGAGTTTCAAATATCCCCCTTCATTTTGATCTGTATGAAAGTAATATAACAGAATGCTTGACTCTTATCAAGAGGTCTTAATGTTTCTTTATGCTTCCTAGCATATTAAGAGCACATTGCATATTATTAAAAAAGGTAATGCAGGATGATTTAAGTACCGTGGTACCTCAGAACTCGAACTTAAGCCGTTCAGAACTCGGGTTCGAATCCTAAAAAGTTTGAGTCCTGATCGAATTTCCCCCATAAGAAATAATAGAAAACCAATTAATTGGTTCCCGGCCCAAAAAAATTACACCTAAATATGGTTTTGTTTAGCATTTAAACACAAAATAAACAGGATAAAACAAGAAGAGCATTTTTTCATAATGGCTTCCAAAACGATAAAGAACGTACCCCAACACTACCCCTGTCCTGCCCCGATCGTCCGCTCCTTCCCAACACTGCGCCAACACTAGACTATGCCATGCGGTCCATTGTTTATTTTTATTATTCCCCTGTATTCGTTAATTTTTTTGTAAATCGCAAACTTTTAGGTTGTAACATTTGTACAACTATTGCGTAACTTTTTGGTGAGCAATGGCTACCAAAATGATATAAAGTACAGTGTATTACCTGATATTTTTTAATAAAAAAGCACTATCACCAACAAACGATGCTATCACAGCGAATGTGAGGCTGAGACTGAAGCGTTACCCTTTGTTTCCGCTGACAGACGTGCCGTGTGACTCATTTCCCCGCGCACACAAGTTATCTTAGGTTGGCGTTCACGGTTCGACTTCTGAGATTCAGATCGAGTTCTAGGTCATCTTTTTCCAAACTGGTTGGTTCGACTTTTAAGAAATTCGAGTTCTAATGAGTTCGAGAACTGAGGTACCACTGTATCTGGCTGAATTGAATTTTTATTTTAGTTTTGTGTGTCTGTGTGTGTGTGTGAATGGTTCCTCCGGCAGTGGTCCCCCATGTCGTGGCTCCCAAGCACAACGAACACGTGACTGAGAACGACAAAGCGGTGCTCATGTGCGAGAGCAGCACCTACCCACCCATTGACAAATGGCGATGGTCCTTCACTGATGATAGCAAGAATAAAAAGGTAGGACAGATCCCTCCTGCAGATAAACCCTTCTGCCTCCTCAAGAAACCACCCAGTTTCTTACTGGGCTCTTTGGAATTATGTGGTATAGGTGCAGATAGTTATTCACAATATTTTTTTCTGTGGGCATGTGTATACACTGCAGAATAATTATTTGGGTATTTTAGTGAACGTAACGTATTGGTTGTGAGGCACATTTCCCATGAGGCGTTCTATGCGTACTTAATGCCATTCCAGGCCATTCAATTGGCCTTATCCGCCTCCAAACAGACAAATAATAATGTTTGGCATTAGTGGTGTATCTGAGAGCTGAAACTGGACCATATCTGGAATGGTTTACAGCTGTCATCCTGCACTGATATTGCAATTCTGCAGCTGACGGTCTGCCCCATAGCATAGTAGGCAGTCACACACAATGCATGTGTGACTGCGTAGCAGAATAGCAGAATCCTGGACAAAAATCACGTCAGTGTTGTGTATAAGGCTTTTTATTGGTATGACATCCGTGTAGCGACAACTGAACTTTGTTTTCTGTTTTTTGTAACTCTCAGGACATCACAGAGGATGAAAAGTACATTATCAAGATCGAGCCCAACAAGACCACCCTGTACATTAATAATCCGGCCAGTAACATGGACTCGGGCAGCTACACTTGCCATGGTAGCAATGACATGGGTGAGTTCTCTGATGACATCACACTGCGTGTCCGCAGCCGGCTGGCCGCCCTGTGGCCCTTCCTCGGCATCGTGGTGGAGGTGATCGTCCTTGTCACCATCATCTTCATCTTCGAGAAGAGGAGAAAGCCCGAGGACCTTGGTGATGGTGCGTCACGCCTTCTCTTGTGCTGTGTTTATCGTTAACAAGTGCGGGATTCTAAAAGGATTATATGTGCGGTTTATTGTCAATGTTGTGCATGCGGTGGCTCAGAGCTTAGCTGAGATGTACGTTGTCTTTGTGTATTAGGAGTGGCCCTTGTGGCTGTGGGTTAGTTACTGATGCCCCCTAGTGTTACAATGTGACACTGTCTTCCAGCAGAGTGCCCAACTCTGGGCCCTCTGCTACGTTTTGCGTGTTCTATTCATCGCACTGGTTCAAGATTATTGTTCTTAATATTTTTAAATATAGCTTTATCAGTCTTCTCTTTTTTTTAAACCTTTGTGTGATTTGTGGTTCCTTTCCGTGTTTTTTTTCTTTTAGATTTAACTAAAAACGAACATTAATTTACCAGACTAGAACAATCTATATCGTTTTGTGTTTTTATTTTGTTTATTTATTTATTATAATTTTTTTCTTTTATTTGCTGCTGCTTTTGTAACATTTTGGTAAGTAATTAAAAACACATGTTGGATTGGAGTGGTGTCACTAATGAAATAATCCAATTAAACGCGGGGTGTTTAGAGTGGCCAATGGCAAATGAATGTGCTAAATTTGTAATTCTTTCACTGCAACTAATGACAAGAGGAGTGGCTAAAAAGTGCCACATTTATATCTGCATGTGTGAAATGCTACTTATAGTGTAACATGTTCGCATAACCTGTGATAGAGCTTATTTGAAAACTGACATTCTTTTATCTGAATGTATAAAGATGTCACTTTTAAGTGGGGAAACTCTTTTAATTGCACGTAAAGCAAAATACTGCATGGATACTGCTCAGGTTGTTGTGATTGGGATTTAATTGGAAGTCATTTATTGTTTAAAAAATCGTTTCAATGTATTACTACTGCATGATCTTGCACTGAGAGTAATACTTCAGGTAGTAAGTTAACAAAGTCTGCATAGTGGTATATGTAGTCGTGTGTCTGCTTTGAAGCCCTGAGAGTGGATTAATACTTTTTCTTAGCAATGTTCCTCTTGTTGGCATAAGAGTGAAAGAATTTAATGATATCCAATAAAATTTGTCAGACTTCCCCATTGATGTCTATTGCTCCCTCATGCAACGTATCCATGATTTGGTTTTGTTTCGCTGCTCCAGTTCCTAATCATTTCCATTTATCTCCTTTTGCTTCACAGATGACAATGTAGGGTCTGCTCCACTGTAAGTCAAGCCTTTGTACCATTTACCATTAAATAAAATTTATGGCATTATTCTGTTGGTGGCCTTTCGGAAATGTCATCCCCCCCCACCCCCCAGGAAGAACGAGTCTGCCGCCAACCACAAAGACAAAAACGTGAGGCAGAGGAACTGTAACTGAAGAAGGACGGTGATGAAGGTAGGTATTTAGCTTTATTGAATGAATGAATCATACCTGAATTAGATGAAATGGACATACTTCATAAAAGCACTTTCAATTTTCAACCAAAATTCCAGCCTGGTGGTTTTTGGCTCTGCCATCACCGAGTGGTGATAGGCTGCAGTTTTGTCACTGCGATTCGACGGACAAGGGGACCAATGGCCACATGAGGAGTGTGCTGCTTACAGGCAGGGAGACTGAAACTTGAAGAGTGTCACTGCTGTGACAGTGCCAGCCTTACAGCAAACGAGACCCTATTTCTTTAAATGGACCTCCATTGGTGACAGCAATTGAATATTTTTTAAACCAGTTTACTTACCAAGAATTTGCTTACAGAAATCTAAGATTTATTTGTGTAATTTGTGTTCTTCAAAAAAACGTACATTTGGGCTATCCATAATTTTTAGTCTATCGATGATGAAGAATTTATGTATTCATGCTTAAATGTCTTTCATAACTTGACAAGAAACAAACTACAATTCAATGTTTTGTGTAAACAAATACTCTAGAAGAAAGAAACTATTTCGAATAGTATAAAATACATGAGATAAGTCTGTTGGCTAATCACAAAACTCCAAATACCTGAGTATGGATGTCCTACCACTAATCTGTGGTCACATAAGCAACTAAAAACTAAGCACCAGGGTGAAGCTGTAATATTTCAGGCACCATGTGGATAGTGGGGGGGGGGGATACGGGAGATTGGGTCTAACTTCCTTTTTTTACTGTGCCGTTGAGCTCCAGCCTCTGGGGCTGTTCTGTGGAACCCAAAGTTGCAAAACAATTGCTTCAGAAGCTCAGCTTTTGTTTATCCTTTTGCACAAGTTCATGAGCAGGTTACTGGGCCGCTGTGCGACACAGGTGGTATTGGGTACAGCTTCAGCTTCATGTTGTGTCGTCGATACGAGCAGGAAGGCAACCTGGGCTGGTGCCCGTTTATGTGTGTAACAAGCTTAATATTAGTCATGTCCGTATTCTGACATGCATATTTAGTTACATAAGGAGTTTTAACCGCTATGGATGTTTGCAAAATTAGTTTTTATGGAGAAGCTTGAACACAGACGGACGTTGCTGACGTTCGAAAGCCCAGAAGTCAGACACGGACACTAAAGTGTCATCATCACGAGTTGAAGGACATGCTGACTGTCGCCTCAGTTCCGTCTTCGGTTCTTTGGTTGAACTGGCGATCGAATCACACTGTGGCCGATACTTAAGGACTTAATGTAATCTTTACAAACAGCTGAAATGACTTTGGCAAAGTTATGAGTAAATGAAGAACATGGCTCCATTGCGGGCACTGTTTGTAGTTGTCAGTGTCTGACTGAGAGAAGCCTGGATGAAGTACATGATTTTTGTGGAATTTAATCCTGTTTTTATGTGATGTGCTTACAGCAGTCCACACCCTCTAATTACTTGCTTCATTGGCGATGAGGGGATTTTAACCCTTTTAAATTCTTATTGTCGGCGACTGTCCAAATTGTCAGCAAATGCCCCTTGATGGGGACAAAGCGGTCAGAGGAGGCGGTAAGCGGCTGACTTGTGCCGCAACGAGTGGTGATGGGACTGCGGCCGTGCTGTGGCCTTCCTTTAATGCAGCGCCTCAAACCCACAGCAGGCCTGCGGCACCTCCTGGAGTTTACAGGGCTGGAGGGAACGCAATCCTCCCAGCACTGTGCTGCCAAAGACGCGTAGTGCCGTGTCCTGTTGCAGACTAACAGAATATCAAGTGTTGTCAAAATCTGCTGGAGTGTAACTTGCTCCCTTCTCCTCCCTGTAGGAATCCCGATGGTGGCTGTATGGTGTTTACGTGGAGCAGAGAGCACCGTCCGGTTCGTTCTAGAAATCCTTTCCTCTTTCACAGATTTTTCTTCATTAAATTATGTCTAAAGGACCAATATACTCCTGATGTTTCTCTTACTCTTGTATTGGCATGTCTTCTGTGCTATCAGGTAGTTGATGGAAGCCTATGGGCAGGGACTGTGTGAGTTTATCCGTGTTTATTTTAATCTCTGGAGCTATCTATTGTTTATGCAGAAGTCTGTGTTTTCTCTGCGAGTGTGTGCGCTTCCTCCCAGTCGACCGGTCCTGCGTGCGCTTTTAAGATATCCAGCATCAGTATTAACATCCTCTGGGGAAGGGGGGGTTGGTGGAGCCTCTGGGGACAGAGACCCCCCCCCCCACCACATGCCGGGACACATGTATTACTGGAAGCCTGGTGGAAATGACCTGTTCTGCTCCATAAACAATGCAGTGTGGGGCCCTCTGGGCTTTTTCTGATGGCTGTAATAACTGTACAGTTTGTTTGACGGACTCCAGGGGTGGAATTTAATGCTGGCTATTGTTACTCCTCAGATGTTTCTGGGCTGTTCAAGCTCAAAACTTGAAATACTTTTTTAAAAATGTGTTTTATTATTATCATTATTTTTCAGATATCCTCAGTAAAATGTCCTAAGATCATCTGCTAGCTGCTTTACATCATTTTGAAGCCCGAGACTGATACCTGATTTATAACTTAAATTTTGTGGCATCCTTTAAAATGAGTTATTACATTATTTAACCCTTTTTGTGGAAAGTCCAAGCAAGATATTGTATTAGTATTGCACCTGGTGTGTACATTTTGTCTTCCTATTTTTAAATTTTAGGATGTTTTTAAAATATAAATTAAGAATCTGAAATTAACGTGATTTAACAAGCAATAACTTGACTACTAACTGCTGTAACAATTTGCACGATTTAAATAAATGTATTTGATTTATCTGGGGTTGTGTCATTAGTGAGCTATATGTTATATAAACAGAATGGTGCGAGCTTTTGGTGGTTAGAAGTGTTTCATCTCAGACATTTCTTCTGTGTGAGATTGCTAAATCCTGCTGTGATTTTGAATGTAAGATTAAATGTTCATTGTAGTTTTAAAAATGTCCCAGTCATACACCAGGCTGAGACTGAGCCTTAGCCTTGCCTGCTGGCTGGTCTGGTAAGGCTCTTGTGTACCTTGCAGTGAACTGGTGTAACATTTAGGGCAGGATTGCACAAATTCTGGTCCTGGGGGGTCAGTTTGCAACACATTTTACAACACAGTGTGCAGATTTCCCTGCTCAGGCACGCCTTGTAAATGGGGTAATTAGCTGATGAGGATGTGTTTGAGCAGGGAAATCTGTGAACTGTGTTGGATTCTGCCCCTCTTGGGCCAGCACCGGGGATCCCAGGTGGAGGGTGTCCCCTGCATCCAGGGATAGATTCCAGACTCATGGTGACCTTGTACTGGATGAATGGTTATGGAAAATGGAATGGGCCGGAATGCTTTGGCCTCTGAAGATGACCAGGACCTTAGCTGCATTAGCGATGGCTGTTCCTGGCCACTCTTATTCAGCTACTGGGAATGACCTTCAGCTACTGGGAATGACCTTCCCCTTACAGAGAACAACTTGGTGGTGCCATGGATTACTTTGTCTGTCATATATACTGGCTGTTGTACAATGTTGTACTATATATTTTAAAATTGTTTATGTTTAATTATGCTGTATGGTTAAAATTGACCAAATGTACATTTAATCTGCCATGCAAATAATGTGAACCTGATACAATGTCATGTAGGTAGGTGCATTTTGTTTTTTGAGCAATACAATGTTTTTTCAATATCTGTTAAGCTTAAGACAGTTGCATTGTATATCTCCAGACCACATTCTCCTTTCAATACCTTTGCTTGGTGATTGCTTATTTTCCCCAGAGGTTTTTTAGAACAGTTATTCTGAGGAGGGAAAAAAATCCTAATTTGCTTTGCATTTATTCAATTAACTCACCCGTTTCATTAAGGCAACCTCTCGGTTGACCAGGTCTTCAAGACTTGAGTTTATTTCATGAACTCTACTAAATGCTCAAGAATCTAGTACAATTCAGACACATTTCTGTAATGCAAATTGCATCTTTGCCACTTCAGTGGCTTTTAGCTTTAGATTGACACTGCCTACTCAACACATAGAGGAAGAGAGTTATTGTGAAATGAGCTGTTGTTTTTTTTTTTTTTNGGGAGGTCCAGCGTAGATACATACTCACACCTGTGAATCAACACTCGGTAGAACCACATTTGGCAGCAGCTGCAGCTGTTGTGTTGATGTATGTCTTCTGCCGTTGTGCTTCTACTGAGGGATCCTGCTGGGCGAATCTGTGCAAGTTCTGTCGCTTTGCATAAAGTCTCTGTTGGACAGTGAGGACAGTCCTGCCTTTCACTGGATTATCCCAGTTTCATTGTCTTCAAGCCACTCCGGTCCTTAGTCTTCAGGTCAAAATCTCTTAAAAAAACATCTCCATCCCAATCATTTACAGACCGTGGCACGTTTCCCTCCAATTTGACTAGCATTCTCACCCCTGCCGATGAAAGCCAGACACACTCACAGCATCCTTCACGGTAGGGGTGGAGCTGTGTCTGTGATGTCCCATGTTGGATGTGTACCAGAGGTAGCGGAATAGCGTGTCACATTTATGTCTGTTTACATTTTTTCCCTTCAAATCCCTTTTTTTTAATCACTGTTTAATTATCCTCTTACTTTTTTCCTCCAAAAGGTGAGATCTTGCTTTTCATTTTTCCAGACAAGCTATTTAACACTTATCTCACCTCTCATCTATTCTGCTCTTTATATTTTTAAAACTCGTCACTGGTGATTTCTGGTGACCCTGTGGTTTCCTGAAAATGCCCCCGTCTGCTAGGATAGCCTGCCCTGAGCAGTTTGTGGGGCCATTAATTACCTTAACGACTGACTTGGCCTTGCTGCAGGGGATATTCCAATGTATTTAAAACCTATATTTTATCTTAGCTCTCATTATTTACCTCGTTGGTAAAGAATTAGAGACAGAGCATTTGAAGCAAATTGTGCATCAATTCTATCTAACTTACTGCATAATTATTGATAGCAACTGCTTGCATCCAGTGTTATTTTTGAAAAGAGTGTTTTAACATCATTTGACATTCCCTAATGTTATGAATCAGTTTCATAAAATATTTTGTCCTTGTGTGCATGTACAATATGCCAGGTTTGTTATACAAAGGGATCAACTCACTGCAAACTTTACTAATGATCCTTTCAGTTTTGCACCCCGTTTCTCCTCATGCTGAAAATGTAGAACAGGTTGTGTAAACTGTAACTGTAAATTGTGCGTAAAATCCTTGGCTCATTATAAGGAACATATGACTCACTTCTCTATAGGTGCCACATATACACTCAGCGGCCAGTTTATTAGGTAAACCTACTTGCAAATGCGAACAACCTGCTCCTCTGAACAGAAAATCACTGAATACATGCACCACAGAGACACGGCTGGTGATTCACTTGCAGTTAGTCAATCCATTGGAATGACTAAGACACCTGATCTAAGTGCATTTGAATGCGGTGTGATTGTTGATGGCAGACGTGGTGGATCCAGCATCTGAAACACATCCGCCCTCCTGGGATGCAGACACACCACAATGTCTATAGTTTACAGGGAATCGTGTGATGAGCAAAACACATACAGTCGGTGGCATTTCTGTGGCCAGAAACACCTAGTTAATGAAAGAGGTCAGAAGGGAACAGCCAGAATCATTACAGTCATACATTTATACTTCAGCTTTAAAAATCACTTACACAAAGGCAACAAGTGCAAAAAATACAGCACACAGAGCTGTGAAGAAAGGCTTCTCTGAATGCCCAACTTGTCTAACTTCAAAGCAATTCTGGAGGGATAATTGGGTCCTACAAAGTAGTAGCTACTTATTAAAGTAGGAACTGAGTGTATATTTAACAGCGAATGTTAAATACTGAGACATAGCCTAGATAAATGCATTAATGGGATCCCACTTGATTTCTATCCAAAATTATTTATTTACCCCCCTTTTTTTGGAACTCTGCCTTTTATGCAAATAAGTCTGAGCATCATGCTTCAGTGTGACACACCAGGAAGTGAAAGTAGCAGTCGCCGCAGAAGAACAGGCTGTCTGGCTCCCAGCCTCTCCGACTTTCCAAATAGCGTAGCGCTAAAAATAGGGATAAAGAGCCCAACAACAGAACGGAAGGCAGACAGAAATGATTCCTTTGGTGACCTGAGGTGCTGCCTTAGCTGATGTTCCGTGGTCAGCTGTACGAAGTTAGCTGAGAGTGTGCAACCTTTCAATGTCATTGGCACAGTCTGCCTTTTTGAAGGTAAGTCTGGCAGCACTGGAGAATCCTTGCTCTTTGCATGTGTGAATAATTTGGATTTTTTTTTTTTATACCTTTTTCTGTGTTTACATTTTTTATGTATTATGCATGAAATCCAGCAAGGGAATATTTTTGAATTGTTGTTATTTAAATTTTTTAATCACCCTGGGATTAGCCGGGCGGCTTGCCCCATTTTATGTCATTGAGTTGAGCATATCTGTAATTACCTGTTGGCTGGATACTTCCTCCACATTGTCCCAGGAAATACAGACTTATATTGACTTATAATGTCTTATATCAATAAAAGTACTTCCCATAGCAGACACTGTGTGTCTGCTTCTGCTATTGGTTTTGTTTACAAACCCTACTGCCTTGCTGGTGGTTAAACTATTACACATGCTATTGTCCTAATTGGTGCCGTTTGGAACCTGAAATCATCAGCATCGTTACACATATAATATTACAAATACTAGATCTAACTGACACATTCCATCCCCCGAAAATCATCCCCTCCCAAGTACAGTGTACACACGTCAGCTCATCCGTGTCAGACGTCACAAGCACAAAAGCACCTTGCAATGTTGTTTTACTCAACGGCCCCTTGTTGCGTTTGACCCTCATGCATGTAGCTACTGTAGTTAGAACCAACATGTTTGCATCACATAGACTGTCATCAATGCCATGAATATAGTGCTTATATAGTCCAGGCAGTTTGAAATGCATCAGCCGTCAAAACACCTCTGACATCACCAATGAAACCAATAAAAAGGACAGAGTTGAATACACCTTCATTACACCTTCATTACAATTACTGCACATCAGACATTTAAGACATTTAATATGACTAATGAGGCAGCAATATAGATATTTATTTAGGTAGGCCTATTTGTTTTTAGCAAAGAAGTTCAATGTTTGCATATTTATGTCATCAATAAAAAATATTGTAAAATCTAAACATTATTTTGCAAATATCCATCCATCCTTGCTAATTCTGGTTTGGGTCACTTGGAAGCAATCCCAGTCAAGGTGGGGTTCACCCTGGACAGGATCCCCGTCCAACACTGAGCACATACACACAATCACTCAATGGGCAATTTAGAGACAACCGGTAGCCAAGCTATAGGAAGAAATCCACATATCATAATGAGGAAATGCAAAATTCCCACACAGACATCGGAGGCAGGATTCGAACCTGCAACCCTAGAGGTGTGAGGTTCCACGAAGGACCTTTCCTCCATAATTTAAAGACTATACAATAAAAATGTCATTCAGCAGCAGCGACTCAGACGTTCTTTTGACAGCGTGGTAGAAAACTTTCAGGTTTTAACACTAGAGGACGCCAGTTAATAACCCGTTGATCCGAGCGAACGGTCACTTAGGAAATTTAGTATCTTCAAGCCGGATTCAACATGTTATAATTGTTAAAACATTAAGGTGTCGTTTTTGAGGGGCGTAAAATGCCAGAATGATTCTCTGCATTTTGTGTTAGCAATAAAGTTTCGCTCAATGGCGCTTTATTTATTCATTTCAAAATCACTGCTTATTCTTCAAAGAATAATTAAGTATACAAGTCACTACTGCTGTTGTATATAAATAACAATACATGGGAACATTAAACAGACCCCATATCATTCTTTTAAAATGAGTATTGATGATACTATTTCCTCATATTTATTAGCGAATAATTATTTTCCTATTGTGTGCGTTTATAAGCATAGCCGTGCAGTGTGAGGCGGCTCGGACGTGTGAGACACGCCGCAGTTTTACCAGAACGCACCCAGCATGAACGCACCGGTTTGCTGGACAATCACCTGTTTTGCTCCCCGTGTTCATTCTCTCACTCTCTGTGTCTTTGCCTGCATATTCTCCCTCCCAAAGATGAACGAAGGCAAATGTTAATCTTCCCGATGCCATGGACAAAAGAGAGGTTTCTGGGGGATCTACCGAGGTCATGAAAAGCAAAGCGAGCGGCGGCGATGGCAGCCATAGCAACACGGCTGCGTGCGCGGCTGGGAGCCGCGGGACCGTGCTGGATGTCAGGGGCGGCGCGGTGACCGTCTCCCCGGTTGCCTCCGCCCAGCCGCGCCCGGGATCGCAGCACAGCGCCGACAGCACCGCCGTCCTGGACGAAGCAGCAGCAGCAGCAGACAGCAAGGCGGAGCCAAAAGTCCAGCAACAGCGTGTACGTCGGACTGGTGTAAGCGGCGGCTGTGGTGTGAAGATCAAGGATCTTACGCCGGGAGGGGGAGCCGCGTCAGTGACATGCAAGTGCTCAAACAGCAGCGACGAGCCCTGCCCCTCGCAAGGCGAGCAGTCTGCGCCTTCTGCTGCCATAGGCACCACGATCTCGGCCGTGGCTGCTCAGGAGGATGCTGATGGTCGCGGCGCCTCAAAGGAAGGGGGCGAAGGGGACGCGGCGACAGGGGTAGTGGCGAACGGCGTGGCCACTGGCTCGGCAGGTGGAGGTAGCGACGCCACGGCTACCGTCACAGGCATGAAATGCAACACAAACGGCGACTGCAGGAGAGATCCGTCCTCTATAGGGAGCCTGTCTTCCATAATCTCTAAACAGGAGAAGCAGGGTGCGGGGATAACTGGAGCCGAGGACGGGAAAAGGCGGAGCGGCTGCAATTCTACAACCGCCAGTATGGACGGCTCGACCACCCCTGCCGGCTCATTGGCACAGGGGCAGGGGGGCGAGACGGCGAACCCCGGTGCCACCGGTGTCGTCGAGAAGAAGGACTCCAGAGTTTCCTTCTCCAATGCGCCCAGCAGGAAATCATCCTCCTCTGTGCTGGGCGCCGGTCAGACCCAGAACCAGCAGACCCGGAATTCAGTGACATTCCTTAAATCTGAGGATGGACCACAGATCCTGCCGGAGGATGGGGAGCTGCGGGACAACCAGACGTTCATGCAGCGCCAGTTCAGCTCCATGCTGCAGCCGGGAGTTAATAAATTCTCCTTGCGTATGTTTGGGAGCCAAAAAGCGGTGGAAAGAGAACAGGAGCGAGTTAAATCGGCGGGCAACTGGATTATCCACCCCTACAGTGATTTCAGGTAAGGGTTGAGTTAAGACGGGTTACCAACCTTCACCACATGTTGACGGCATCTTACGATCATCTGGAGCAGTATAAAATACATTTCAATAACACAGCATATGAAAGTATATACACTGCTTTATTGTAATTATTTATCAGTAAGTCCCGTCCATATAACTTTGATGTGTCGCCTGAGAACAGACAGGAGTAACTGTGACCATTAGGTCTGTTCATAACATAATGGAAAAGAATCACGGATTTAAGGTCATGAATAAAGCCCCATTCAAAGTAATCGTGATGTAAATGTACCGCCAAATTAGCTTTATTGTACATTACTCTTAATTACTTTACTAGTACCTTATAGGCAAAAGTAAATAAATAAAAAGAAACCAAAACTTACTAATAATAGTTATAGTTAAGCGTATCAATTGCACAATGCAGAATGGCAGCCAGAAGAAGATGAATACTTAGGCAGACACGCTTGTCGTTCACACCTTTACACCGGCGGTACAGGCCTGTCACATAAAGACCGCCTCCTGGCTTTTTATCAAGTGTATGTCCATGGATGGTCGCCTTTACAAGCACCTTGCATATAAAAACAATTAGGCCTCCACTAAATCTGCTGTTTCATTTGTCATATAACATGGAGTGTGCGTGCCGTTATAGAGAGAGCATTATTATAGAAGCCTGCTATTTATAGGCGAAAGATTTAAGTTGGTGTTGCCGTTCAGTGCTTTCGTCCTTACTTGACACCTTATACCTTAATTCATAATATTGCGGACTCGCCGCCAACTTGGACATATGCTTTATGTTTTATGCTAGACCTATATAATTTTAGAAATTTCCAATGCATTTATTACCTTTGGTATGTAATAGTAATGAGTTGCAGCCAATGGTCACTATGTTTCCTTCAACGACTTTGTCAAGCAAATATTTTGACTAGATTTGTTTTTTAACACACAGTGTTAGGTAAATCATTTTGGTACCCCGGGACAGGTAGCTAAACTTGCCTGACTTGTTTACTCCGATTGGAAAGCACCGTCTTAAATGTGTTAGAGCTGCTTAGATCGCGGATATCGCCCGTGCACGTTTTGTAAAGTCACCTTGACGCCCAAACGTGGAGATGCCGGCTGCACGGTTGGCCTAAACAGACATTTTCTCCCTTGATTATTTCTCATTTCACCTACATTTGAAGTTTACACGTTGTGCTAGGGGTAAACTTTAGCACCATCCATTTGGCCTTTGTTTCCACAAAAGAACACATTACCGAAGGTCGTATTTTCCCCACATATCCCTGACAGCCACTTAACACTTTTGGCAGCTTATTGCTTTTAGATTTGGCTGCTTTATAGTTCCCAAAGGATATGTCGCGTTAAATTGGCCGTAGTTTTTCAGCTCCTGTCTATGTCAATAAGACCTTTGTCGCTTTTCTGTGGATCTGCTTAAGTAGCTGATAAGTGGATACATCTATTGGCTTTCTGTCGACTGGATTTATTTAAACATTTTGTTATTGCATTCCTTACATGTCCTACCCTACGCTTGTAGTGCTTAGACTGACATACGGTTTATTATTATCATTATTATTATTATTATTATTATTATTGTTGTTGTTGTTATATATTCGATACGTCCTTGCAGTGTTTATGACTTGAATGTGATCGAGAAGGCATCTCTCATTGCTGTTCTTGTGTTTATGAATATTTAAAACAATATTACTCTCAAACTCCATATTAGTGTAATATACAGAGCATCAAAGTGAAAACAAAATACAAAAAAATGAAGGAAACACCCTCGATTTTAGTACTGATCTTTTTGTTAAGTGTTATTTATCGAACAATCTTTATGTCTGGCTTCTCACTTCGATTGCTGCAACCCAGTACGCTGACGCTTCGCCCAGTAAGCTTCACTTTACGGGACATCGAAGCAGAACTCAATGCTTAACATTTGATCAGAGTGAAATCAGCTCACTTCTCGTCATAGGCTTTTAACAGCGAGCGCCGTGCATTTTTCATGCTGTAATCTTTCAGTACCAGAGACAGCTCTCCACCGAGAGCCTGGTACCATAAATGACTTTGTTTCAGCTAAAGCCTGATTGATCAGGTTTCATGCTTAAGAAATGGCCAGTGACATTATTCTCTGAGTGATCTTTCGCCTGAAGAGATTTAACGAAGTAAGAAGAAGTTACTTGTCCTTGCTTATATGAAGCTATTCTTGTATTGTTTGGTGGGTCTCATATTATATATCCGATATAAATATCCAGTTTAAAATGAGGACTGATATGTTTAAACGGAGGTATACAGTGTCCCAGTCTGTAGAGAATGTCCAGCCATTGGAAAACACCAAAACAATTGTATCACATGTAGCGCTACACTGAATCTTTATAGCTATTGTGTATTTAATACCTTTCATGGGATGTTTATCGCTCTCAGTAAACTAATCTCATGGCTGTACAGCGCAAGTATGGCGGTTTAGCAAAGAAATCTTGCAATAATAAGTATAACAGTATGGAAGTTATTTAAAAGAAATGATCTTAATAGTTAATGCAGAACAATAATAATTAATTGAAGTGAAATGTTTGAACTGTGTTTTCCTTAAAGGAATTACGCACCAGTCTTAAAGCTTATAATTTGACTACCTTCTTATCAGGAGACAAAAGTCAATGTGATTGTAATTTCTTATTACTATATGATTAGACTGAACAGCTTAAAATCTAATATAATGCTGGCTGTCTGGAGTTCATCCTTAAAATCTGAGCAAGGTGTTATGTTTGCGAACCAGCATGAGGTAAGAACACGTTGTTCCTGTTGTTATTGAATTATATTGGATGGATCTAATACACCTAGTCTGACTCACTGTGGCGTCTTTAATGTACAATTTGGCCACAATGCGTGAGCAATAAGGAAATGATTCAGCAGCACCCCTGGTGGCGTATTCTAAAATCTAATGAAACTTCATTATAAGAGTCCTGTCCAGCGACCTTTGCTGTAAGGCAATGGTCTTCAGTGCGCGGCCCGCGCGCTACTGGTGGCCCCCGGGGGCCAGTGTGGCAGCCTGTGACTGAATAAAAAAATGAGCTAATTATCATGACCATCAGTTATTGTTTTTTTTTATATATATAATTCTGTAATTATTATTTTTTTAAATCTAGTTGCAATACAACTCACCCAGTAATGTGCATCTACGTAGGTAACAAACAATCAGCTAGCCAGCTTTAACAGTGAATGATGGCTCCCAATAGCCTTCTAAGCATGCCCCCCCCCCCCCTAAAATCAAGTGAAGAACGGTGCTCTAATGTGTCAGTAAGCCAGAATACAGGACATACCTTTGATTATCTATTTGTTGCTTGTGACATTCAGAAGCCTCCCATTCTTAGCTGTTAGGTCGTGTGCCGGTCATTTTCCTTAATGCTTTATTTGTCTCGAAGTTGCTGCTGGCTGGACTAGATCAATTTCGCTGTCATGGTTTCGGATTTCCCTCCCATCGTGGGCTATGCCCTTGTGCTGACCTTGCAGATTGCAGGAGGATAACGCTTTATCCTGGACTAATTTTAAAACCATTCTTTGATATAGACAAGGGCATCTTAGGGGTGTAACTGGCGATGGACTTGGATTCATCGGAAGAGTCAGCATTCATATCGGGTTTAAGCATTCCTGCAGAAATTGGTCTTACTTTGTTAATGTTTGTTGCTGTCAACAGGAAAATAAAGGAAAGTGAAGCCCCAAAAGTGAATCATTATTATTATTATTATTATTCCAGCATAATAAAACTATTTACAAGGGTGCTGAAGGAACCATTTCCTCAGTAAGAGTGCTAGTAAACAGTAATAATGTAATGATTTCCCCTAGTAAACAGTAATAATGTAATGATTTCCCCTAGTAAACAGTAATAATGTGATAATTTCCCCTAGTAAACAGTAATAATGTAATAATTTCCCCTAGTAAACAGTAATAATGTAGGGCAAAGCCTCCTTGGTCTGTGTTTTATTAATGAATTAAAATTGGAATGTAAAGCAAGTTGCTTGAACAGTTCCCTCTCAAACTTTACATCTCAGCAATATTAGATAGATAGATAGATAGATAGATAGATAGATAGATAGATGCTTCATTGATCTTACTCTTTGTATTCTTGGTGCTCTGCATCTGCAGGTTCTATTGGGATTTCACAATGCTCATGTTTATGGTGGGCAACTTAATCATCATCCCCGTGGGCATCACATTTTTCAAGGACGAAACCACCACGCCATGGATTATTTTCAACGTGGTATCGGACACCTTCTTTCTCATGGACCTGGTGCTCAACTTCCGCACTGGCATCGTCATCGAGGACAACACGGAAATCATCCTTGACCCGGAGAAGATCAAAAAGAAGTACCTGAAGACGTGGTTTGTGGTCGACTTTGTCTCCTCCATCCCTGTGGATTATATCTTTCTCATTGTGGAGAAGGGCATCGACTCTGAAGTGTATAAGACTGCCCGCGCCCTGCGGATCGTGCGCTTCACCAAAATCCTCAGTCTCCTGAGACTCCTGCGACTCTCCCGACTCATCCGCTACATCCACCAATGGGAGGAAGTAAGTCAACCGCTTCTTGAAGGCATTCGGCTCTATACTGAATGCTGGTAGATACTGCTGAAGTCATAGATGTTATGCAGAAATGAACTATTTAAAAATAAGACCAAATTACAGTAAACTTTTGACCTGATTTGGTTATTAAACTTAGTATTTTAATGAGGTTTGTGGTTATATAATAAAATAAATGCAAAGGGTTACAGCTACTGATTAATGATGAGGTATTGTGTTGAATATACTGATGATCGAAAGTTACGGAAATTGTGCTGTTTGAAATTATTAGTGGAAATTTATTGCCGGTGCACTCAAGGTATCCTGTGATGGTTGGCTTATACCTGTTGACGGTCTCATTTGCGAGTAGCCAGTGGTCAGAGGATTGTGTACTGAGAGGCTTGAAAGACAGAGTAAAAGAAAAATGCAACGAGAAGTAGGGTTGCAAAGGGCTGGAAAATTTCTGGAAATTTTCCTGAAACTTTCCGTTCCATGGGAAGTTAAGCTGGGGAATTTTGGAAATATTCCACATTAGAAACTTTCCATGGGAATTAATGGGAAAGTATGGGAATTAACAAGAATATCCCTAGAATTTTGCAACCCTAATGAGAAGTGATACAGAGTGTCACCAGGTATATTCTACCCCCACACACTACCACACATATATATCCCTGATACATCATGTCCATCGACTGATACGAAACTGTCAACCAATCATATTCACACATAGGTCCACCATGTGTCTTACACTTAAAGGGTACGTGTTTACAGATTGACCTTGTTCTCAGTGTCTTCAGGTTTACCTTCTCAGACCTAGAAGCTCCACTTAGACAAAATCTTAGCCAGATTTTAGGCTGTAGAACTATCAGGCCGGATAAAGAGCCCAGTGGTGCAGCTGAAAAGGCTGCGATGACCTTTCACACACATCTGTGGTCGGAGCTCAGGAAGCCGACAGCCTGAGGAGGCACCTGCACCTGAGCACCCAAGCGTCTCCCTTTGAAGTCCTGAGTGCATCTTTTCAATAACCTGTCATCATTATTCGAATCCACATCCTGGTTGATCATTAATTTGCATCCTGGTTGAATTTGTATTGTTTTGCCAAACAGACTTATGGGCACCCTAAGTACACTAGTGGCCAAAATTGTGGAAACACCTAGTATTTTGGACATTATGCTTTAATAATTACTAGATGAATATTGGCGGTAATGTTTCTAAGCAATCATAAACAAGAATGTTTACAAATATCATACATTGGACAATTAAGTAAATAACTGGAGCAAAAGTTGAATAAAGTTCAAAAATTGGATGTGTTTCTGCAATTTTGGCCACTAGTGTATAGTGAATAATGGCTAATCGCAAAAGACTTGTAGCCAGATATTTTTATACTTTCCTAGGAAGTGCTATTCTGCAGTGTTTACCGAAATACAATAATCCAGGATGAAAAGCCTAATTGAAGTCCCTTTTAAATTAAGTTATTTGATAACAGCCCTAAAACTAAAATCTCACATCTGTTTGCCTTTAGATTTTTTTCTGCCACTGTGTTTGACTGTAATATTGCCGCAATACCTCAGTATATTTTACTGCTTTGTGGTGAAACTATACTCAAATATTGATGCTGCTGTTGAAGTTCATTAGCGAGTTCCTGTTTGTCATCTCTCCCCTTTGTGATTACAGACAGATGGCTCAGTACTTCTGTTGATAAAGTCCCAAAGCTGTACAATGTGTTGAAATGTATATTGGTTCAACAGAGCAGCCAACGCACGATCGATCAGCTGTATTGCCAAGGTAGTTATCTGCAGTGTTGAAGCCTGCAAATGCTGCTTATATCTTATACTTTTTGCTTGCAATCCACTGCTTTCAGATTTTCATTTAGACTACTGGTTAATTATCATTTTTAATGGGATTAACCCTCCATTCACCTGTTCTTCCGTCTTGTTCATTTTAGCATTGAGCGCCGGAGCATCACACGAACGGAGTGTAATTGAAATCATCAGGCGTGTGCATGTTGCAGATTTTTGAACAAACGATTGGGAACAGAATCATCTATCCTCAGTCGTTTGTCTCTGTTAATAGCGGGTCGCAGCGCTTCAGGTTTAACACCTTTTTAGTTTTAATCTCCATAGTAATTTTAAGTTATGTCTTCGCATATAAGTAACAGGAAGTATCATTTTGGCAGCTGCAGAAAACAGGTTTGCATGTTGTTTCTGTGCCAGCTTTGGACACCCTTAGCTCTGGGGGGGGGGGGCTTTACCACATCTTATGAACTGTAAAGGCGGCTGATGGGGGTTGTCCAGATTACACTATTAGTAATTCTCTGTGCAATATTCATATTATTGGTAATTCATTGTGCAACGCTTGCATCATCAGTAATACTTCTCTGCTTAGTAATACTGCATTTGTTGCTTAGCAATACTGCATTTGTTGCTTAGTAATACTGCATTGTTACCCTATTAACTGTATTACTATATCTTATTAGACATTACTACCTTCTATATACTTTTTATGAAGTAGTTTTTATATGCAGTGTTTACATTTACTGTGTAAATGACTACGTGTTTTGTTACATAAGAACATAAGAAATTTACAAACAAGAGGAGGCCATTCAGCCCATCAAGCTCGAACTTAACTAACAGCTCATTGTTGTTGTATCTGAAGGGGCAGCTGCTCTGCAGTTTCGTTACACATGGTGTAATGACAATAAAAGGCCTCTAATACTATTTAATTTGTAGAAATAAAGGTTCTAACGTCCCCTTTTTGTTTTCCTGAGTCATAGACGGAGGGTGAAATTTGTGTAATGTTATTCTCTAAACAAATTATATTCCTTTGCAATATGTTATGTTTTCCCCCCGTAATGCTCATTTAGGCAGCAGTGAAATGCATTATAACATATACAGTACCCAGTAAGTTTGGTCTTTATTGCACATATAAATTCACCTTGACCTTAATATACATCCTATATTTACCTTAACCTTGACATATATTTTCTCTTATATATCTCATCTTATATATTTACCTCAGCCTTGCCCGTTCGCCTTCCTGGGGCACGATGTCAGGGCCACCTGTGTTTTCCTGGCTCTTGTTCTAATTAAATCCCAAGCCCTTATCCTCCAGATTAAATGCCCCTTACCTGCCGTCCGCCCCCACCTGCACGTCACACCTGCGCTTCTCTGGTTCAGGCGTGCATCTTCCTGCCGAAACACGCCCCACCTCTCCCCAAAGGGTATACAGTTTATAGCCCCGCCCTTCCACCCCAGGGCTGAACCCATGTGACGTCTTGGTTCACCGGCTTTGCAGGTGGAAAGGCGGAGCTTCTGAGGGACAGCCGAGTGGCTGTGAAAAGAAACGGACGGTTATCAGTCTGCTTCCTTGAAGTCCCCTTTGGAGTGTGTTGGGGGTGGCAGTGAGGCCATAGCTAGTGGCCTCAGTGCCCTTAGTCTGGTTCATCTCCTCTTCTTCTCTTGCTTGCCTGCCATAGATGGGTGGCTCTGGGTGTGTTAATACCTCGTATCCCCACGGATATGTTGGTGGGGGTGAATAAGGGTGTTAGGTGGCTCCCTGATGTGTAACAGCAGAGCACACTATTCGGATGACTCACTGGGCCACCTTCATCTGTCATTCTCCACATGGAATTTCTTTGGCTGCTTAGGTTAGGAGTTTCACCAGTAACCTCCCCCCCCCCTGCCCCCGCCCCTGCCCAAGACATTTTAGATGTCTGTGAAAATTTTGTTGACGTAAACCAGTCCATGGGCATCAAAAGGTCTGGGGCCACTGGCTTAGGTGACACTTTGATCGCTTCCCTTTTTACTTGTTTGTGCATCTAGATACTTCTATTGAGCAGGACTCTCACTCATAAGTAGTTCCTCCCCGTGATTCGACCATTAAGGCTAAAAGCCAAGGTCATTAACCACTGTGCTAATTGTAGAGAAAATGCAATATTAATAGATTACTGATTGAGGACCACATTGCTAGCGAAAGCCTAGTAACCAAATGACATTTACCAGCAGCCTTGCAACATGGACTGCGGAATTTATCCATCAATCTTCCAGGTAATTATCCTTGACTGGGTGGCAGGGGGCCTTGGAGCTCATCCCAGGCAGGGTGGGGCACGGGGCCCCCCGCACAGGATGCCTGCGGGTGCGGTAAGCTCCAATATCACATCTGGGTCTAATCTCTTTTCCTTTGTCTTTCTCCTCATAAACTTTGATTTATGGAAAATGTTGGCCATTGTCTGGAAAGATATAAAAGGATTTTCTTATTATGACTAAAGTGATGAATGTTGAGAGCCCGTTGCAGTCGGACTGGATCCTGCTTTAATGTAATACATTCTTTTGACTTCTTGCTCTTCCTTATTCAAATTCTGTTATTTTCAGTATTCATGCTTATCCCATATCTCTTGCTAAATCAAGGCAGTTATTCAGTATATTATACTGCAATGCTTTTCAATTAATTCCTATAAAATGAGTGGAACTCAGTGGGTAACCCTGTTGACTCGCGCCGTCTGCGTTTGGGTTCAAATCCCTACTCTGTGTGTGGACCTTGCGTGTTCTCCCGACGCCATGTGGATTTGACTCTGGGTTCTCCGGTTCCCTCCCGCTGTCCAAAGAAATGCAGTCAGACTGTTTGGCGTCTCTAAATCACCCATAGAGCGTGATTCCATGTGTGTGTGTATGTACCTTGCACTGGACTGGCATCCTGGCCTGGATATACTGCAACCTCATGTCTTCTGATGTCTGGGACAGACTCCAGGTGACCCTGACCACCATAAGCAGTCAGAAGATAGTCTCTCTGATTATATAAGACCCTCCTTTGTAGGCCTTATTATGTTGCAGTACAGCAGAGAAATTGAACAAGGAGCCTTACAGTAACTGCAAAAATAAGGTAAAATCAATATCTTTCCTATACGCTATTTTGAACTCTAAATGTGCTTCTTTTTTTTTGCTTAATACAGCAATCATGCGGAAAAATTCTCTTTAATCTTTGTGCACCAAATGAAGCAACCTATGTGGACCAAG